CCCCTCCTCCTCCTCCTCCTCCTCCTCCTCCTCCGCATTGAGGTCGGGCGTGTCCCCCCTACAGGCGGCTCTGGGAGGCAGGGCGGAACCTCAACGGTGTTTGTCGTTTCATGTTGCTTTCGTTCTCCCGCGCTCCTGTCTCGAGTCCGCCTTGACCGCAAAGCGACATCGAAACGAAAACGGCCCACGAAGTCGCCAAAACCACCGTTGAGGTCCAGCCCTGTTGGGAGGATGACCGCTCCTCCCGCAGGAGGGACGGGCCCAACCTCGGATCTCTGGGGCGGGGGCGAGGTTCGCCTCTCCGGCGGGCTCGGCGGGCCGCTCGCCCTCCGCACGGAGAAAAAACAGGCGCTCGAGAGCCGCGGATGCCACGGCTGTGGACACCCTAACAGACCTACCATCGAGTTAGACACGTGTGTAAAATGTCGGACAGATGTCCCAAATATGTTTCAAACGTGATAATCAGAGATGAACAACTCGGGTCGGGCGAAAGGGGGGGATAGCAAAGGGGGGGTTTGAGAATCAGCTCACGTAGCTGATTTTCCCGGCGCCTCCCGGCGCCGGAGGCGCCATGTATCGAGGAATGGGCCCCTCGGTGAGGCCGGAACTAGCTGCATGCAGCAAATGTCGTACCCCCCCTTTCCCAATCCCCCCCTTTCGCCCGACCCGAACAACGTCTGGGCCCGCGATACATATATTTGTGAGCGCTCCACCCGCGGGCGGGGCCGCCCCGACCTCCGACCTCTGGGGCGGGGTTCGCCCCTCCGGCAGGCCCGCAGGGCCTGCGCGCCCTCCGCACGGAAAAAAAAGAGAGGGGCGCTGGACTCAGGTTTTAAGTCGGGCGTGTCCCCCTACAGGGGATTCTCGACGACAGCAAAAAACTTAAAACATACACCCCAAATGGTCAAGAGTACTAAAACATAGTCCCCAGACTGTTTGCTGGACTGTGTTTGGATATTCCTCCTGTCGAGAGACGGGCCCGACTTAAATTTAGGTCGGGCGTGCCCCCCTGCAGGCGGCTTTGGGAGGACGAACGACAAATCGCCCCCCAAAAAACCCCAATAATAATGACATAATTTAAACAGATCCTCTCCAGACTAGTTGTTGGACTATTCTGGAACATTCCTCCTGCAGAGGGACAGGCCCGGATTGACTCCGTCGGGCGGCTGTGGCAGGGAAAATGAAAACTAGCCCAAAAAATGTTTTAACCGCGGGTCGAGAGCGCACCTCTTCCGGTCGAAGCTAAGCGGGCCGCGCGAAGCTTGAATTAAACAGAGATGGGGGAGGAAAAGGGGGGCGCAGCCTCAGAACGAGGCCTGGGGGAGGCAACGCAAAACTAGCCCAAAACAATGCCCCAACAAAAATAATCGAGCACGGTCGACAAAAACAGGCCCGAAGGCATGTTCTTGACGACTCCGAAGCCTTCCTCCTGCAGAGGGACAGGCCCGACACTGGACTCTGGCTTTAGGTCGGGCCTGTCCCCCTACAGGGGGATGTTCGACGATTAATATATATATATATATATATATTAAAAAAGGAATGCCCCAAAAAGGCGAGAAGTATTAAAAAAATAGTCCCCAGACTATTTTGGGGCTATGCTTGATTATTTTTTAGGTACTCTTGATATTGTTCGTCGAAATTCCCCCTGCAGGGGGGACAGGCCCGACGCCGAACTCTGGCAGGCTCGGCGGGGCCCGCGCGCCCTCCGAGAGGCCGACCTCCCTCGCCGAGGCCCACGGCGGGCTGCCCCCCCGCAGGGCTCCGCTCCCCCGGGGAGCGGAGCCCTCCGGAGGGGCCCGCGCCGCCTCGCCTCGAGGCGCCCAAAGGACGCACACACGCACACACGCACACACACACACACACGCACTCACACACACACACACACACACACACACACACACACACGCACACACACGCACACACACACACAGACACACACACACGCACACACACGCACACACGCACACACACACACACACACACACACACACACGGCTCGCGCCGTCTCGCCTCGAGGCGCCCAGGGACACACACCGATGCACTTACGCACACAAATCCCCACAGGATCCCGCAGATGCTCCCACATCCTCTGGGTTTTCGTCTTCCCCCCCCCCCCAAGTCCCATGGTTTCCCATCTCTGCCTGGGGAGTCGACGAGGACTTGTGTCTGTGAATTGTGCTCCCTCCTGATCCCAAGAAGCACCGCCGCCCTCCGAGAGGGCCCGTGCCCTCTCGCCTCGAGGCGCCCAAGGACACAGCAATGAAAACACACACACACAAGTCCCACAGGATTCCCCTGATGGTCCCCATGTGTTCTAGGTTTTCGTCTTCCCCCACCACTTCCCATAGTTCCCCATATCTTCCTGGGAGTCGACGATGAATTGTGTCTGTGTGTTTTTTCCCCTCCTGATTCTTTTGGAGGGCTCCCAAGAAGCACCGCCGCCCCCTGAGAGGGCCCGCGTCGTCTCGCCTCTCCCCTCGGCACCCTGGCCACTGAGAGCGCTGCCCCGACGTGGGAGTACAGTCAGCCCGTATAGTGTAAGGATGCGCGGTAAAAGGATGCCAGGGCCTTGGAGGGCCATTTCGAAGCTTCTCGAGCGGGGCGCGGCCAACAAGAGCAGGCAAGGATGGACCGACGAGGCAGGGATGCAAGGGTGCCCTTGGGAAAATTACCCACCCCTGCTGTGCGGGTTGACCGTGAGGCGCTGGTGGGGGGAGGCGATTATAACATGTGTTTGACGCTGGCTGTCTCTGCGGTCAGTTGCGAAGCAGCAGTGCTGCTGCGTCCTTGACTGCACTCCACCACGCCGCGCGTACCGTCCCTCGCTCCCGCCTCCTGCTCTGTCGGTGCTGCGCGCGCATACTGCTGCTGGCTCCCCGCTCTCGTTCCTGCCGTTGCTGCTGCCTCGGCGCGACCGTCACGCGGAGCGTGCCGGTCCCGTGCGCTCCTCGAACTGATCGTGCCCCACAGGGAGCTGCGTCTATGCCCTCGGTGGGGAGCATATACGAGACCGATGTTGCATCACAGCAGCAATTCGGCCCCTGACTTTCGTCCTGGGTTCGGTTTAGTGAAGTGATGAATTTCGGGGTCCTTACGTAGGAAAAAACATCACTTCACTAATCTGGGGCCCCTGGGGCCCCAGTGGGCCCTGGGGCCCAAAATTAGTGAAGTGATGGTTTTCGGGCCTCGGAGCATACAGCACGCAGACCTCCGCGCATATACCCCTCACAGGGGCGTTGCTATGGCCTCCTCCGCCCAGCTCGGCACCGACACGTCCCGCGGATCGCGCCCCCCACACGGAGCTCCAGGCTGCGGCCCCCGCAGGAGGCATGGCATGGACTCGCTATAAGGCCCCTGCCAATGTCATCCCTGGGGGGCACCAACAGGTAATGCGGGATGGCGACTAATAAAAAATGGGAGGGAACGATTAAAAACATAGTTTTCTGCTATTTCTGCATAATTTTCTGACTGGAGGAGAACAATAAACAAAAAACAGTTTTCCAGCCCGCGGTCGGTTTTTTCTAATCGTCATCCCACGCGCCGCTGCGTGAACACGACCACCGGTCATTTATTAATCGTCATCCTCCATTACCGATGCCGCTACTCCCTTTGACCTCTCCTGGGGCGCGCTCTGACCAGAATCTCGAGGCGAATCCAGCGGTGGCGACGAAGGCCCCCCAGGAGGCCCCAAAAACGGGAACACATGCGAAGGGTAGCGGTAATCAGGGGGGTACCTTTTCTTCCTCCGACTTCCTCACGAAAGCCGCGCTCCGAGGGGAGGCCCACGCGCGTGCGATTCCCCAGCGGGCACGGCGCCTCCGCCCGCACGCGCGGCACAGCGCACCCTTCCGCGCAGGCCCTCGCCCGAGGGCCCTCCGCGCGCGCGGCCCCCCCCCCCCGTGGCAGCGCGCCGGCGCGGCCCTCCCCCGCCCGCGCCGGCAGACCCCGCACACGCGCCGCGCTCCACCGGCGACCCCAGCGCAGGCGCTGGCGCGAGCCCCGGCCCCCCGCCGACTGCGGCGCACCCGCCGCGAGGAGCATGCCTCGTTGAAGGGGCCCAAGGGCACACAAATTCGCCGGCCCAACGGGCCAGAGGCGTGCTAAGATCTCTGGTAGCTGCTAAATAATACTTCTACTTCGCGCGCGCGGGGCGGCCCCTGGGGGTCCCTGGACGAAAAGTACCCCGGGCGATCCCCGGCAGGGTCGGGTCAGAGATGGTTTTCCTCCTGGGCGCCGCCCCCGTGGCCCTCCAGAGAGTCCCAAGAAGGGCCACGAGACCGCCAAGAACCCTCCAAGATGGTTCAAGAGTGCTCCGAGATGCCACACGATCGTCCCAAGACGCCCAAGATGGCCCCCAGACGCCCCAAGAGGCCTCCAAGAGCACTCCCCAGAGGGCCCCAAGAGGCAACATTCATTGCTTTTCCTTAGGTTTTGGGCAGATTTTTTGGCGTGTCCATCTTTTCGGCTTCCCAACGCCCCAAGACGGCCCAAGAGGCCCCCAAGATCGCCCCAAGAGGGCCCACGAAGCTCCCAAGAAGGCCCCAAGATGGCCCAAGAGGGCTCCAAGACGGCCCCAGAGGCATCCAAGACGGCCCAAGAGGGGCCCAAGAGGGCCCCAAGCGATGCCCCAAAGGGGGAACACAAAACAAAACTTCGAGCCCTCGGCCTTAAGAAGCCCCCAGGAGGCCTCAAGAGGCCCCTGAGAGGCCCCAAAAGCTCCCAAGAGGCCCTCAGGAAGCCCCCAAGCGACGCTGAAGAGGCCCCCCAGCGGCCCTAAGAGGCTCAGTCATGCGAAATGGGCCGGCGGAGTGAGCGAAGCGATTCAATAAATACACACACACACACACAAATAGCAGGATTCCCCAGAGTTTCCCGTATTTCCTGGGTTCTTGTCTTCCCCCCCGCTTCCAATAGTTTCCCACATTTTTTCCGGGAATCGACGCTTAATTGGGTCTGTGTGTTTTTTCCCTCCTGACTCATGGCGAGCTCCCCCGAGAGGGACTGAGAAGGGTGGCGTGGCAGGGTGGGCGGGCAGACGTGGCAGCGGGGGGAGGAGCGGAAGGGGAGGGGCGAGGGCGAGGCGAAGGAAGCGAGGCTGGGGGGGAGAACGGCAGGAGGAGCACCGGAGACTCAAAAAGAAGAGGGACGCGTGGGAGGGTGGGGGAGAGGGCAGAGCAAAAAACAGGCACATCTGCTTTCCAGCGCAGGAGTCGCCGCACTGGCTGCGGAGCGGCGCGCACGGCGTCCACGAAGGGGCCGCACAGGGCGCCTTCCCACGGCCGCTCGGCCGCTGCACCACCGGCCCCACCACAGCAACGCAGGCCACCTCGAGCCCAAAGCGTGGCCCTGCGTGGCCCGGCGTGGCCGCGCCTCACTCCCGGACCGCAGGCCCGTCGTGGCGAAACCAGAGCACCACGCTGCTCCGCACGCCGCCCCTCCAGGGCAGGGTCTCGTGCTCGTGCTGGCCCCAGTGCATCAGGACGGTGCCGGGCGCAAAGCTGCCGAAGTCGATCGTCTCTGGCCCACCCTCGACGCTGTCGTTCGTGCGCAGGCGCCTCAGGCCGTGGAAGCGCACCTCGGTGCCCCTCAAGTCCTCGGAGGCCTCGAGGAAGAGGTTCAGGGTGAAGAGGCACTTGTCGACGTGCCGCCGCAAGACCTGATTGGAGCCCTCCTCGTAGGAGATGAAGAAGCCGGAGTCCAGGGTGAGGTCGCCCGCGCTGAGGCCGAAGTGCCCGAGCAGGGGCCGCTCGACGGCTGCCAGCAGCGCGGGCACCACGTACCGCGGAAACGGCGTCTTCGCCACGTCCAGGGAGTACCGGTGCAGCGTGTTGAACGACTCGCTCGTGAGGGCAGGAGGAGAAAACTGCATACATGAAAAAGTAATGGAGGATGACGATTAGTAAATGACCCCCGGTCACGCAAGCGCCCGGGATGACGATTGGAAAAAAACCGGCCGCGGGCTGGAAAACTATGTTTTTAATCGTTCTCCTCCAGTCAGAAGATTGTGCAGAACTAGCAGCAAACTATGCTTTAATCGTTCCCTCCCATATTTTCATTAATCGTCATCCCGCATTATCGGAGCCCGCGCAGATTTCTTGGATCGGCGCTGGGCCCCCTCCCTGGCGTGCGGCAGGGCGGCGCCGGGAGCGCCGCCACATGGGGGCCCAACGCCGCTCTCGGAGACATTCGCGCGGAGCTCGGAGAAGTTGTCTGTATGCCGCGTTCCCTTCCTCGGGAAGAGCGACTGCCGCAAATTCGAAGCCCAGTCTGCGCTGTCCTTAGAAGAAGAACCAAACAAACACACACCATGAACATAAACTCTTGGCGCTCCGCGCGGATTTCTTGGGTCCGCGCTGGACCCCCCCTCCCTGGCGCGCGGAGCGTGCCAGGGGCGCCGCCCGAGGCTCTGCCGGGGGGGCCCAGCGCGGATCCAAGAAATCCGCGCGGAGCGCCAACATTTTTATGCTCGTGGCGTTTCTCCTTCCTCGAGTCCTCCGCGTCGAAAGCGTCACCGACGGTCTCGTGCACCAAGCCGTGTCGGCACAGCTCCTCCTCCATGCGCGGGCCGCATGCCAGGTGCCGCGACCCCCGCGGTGACCTTCGCGCCGCGGGATGCCACGCCGACGTGCGCCAGAGCGCTGCCTCGAGCCGATATGGCTACGGTTAGGTCGGGCATGTCCTCCTACAGGCGGACTATGAAAGGACACATTAAGAACTAGTCAGAAGATATAGACTCAAAAAAATTGAAGAATCGTCCCCAGACTATATCTTGACTATTTCTGAACATTCCTCCTGCAGAGGGACATGCCCGACTTGATGCTGCCTCGAGCCGATATGGCTACGGAGGGGACAGCTCCAAACAAGACACCACCACCAGCCCTGGGCGGCCCTGGACTGGTGTACAGGCCTTCGTGGCTTGGGCCAGGTCTGCACACCTGCGCAGGGCCCACGACAGGCCTGGGGCCAGCGCTGGTGGTGGTGTGTAGCTGGCGTCCCTCCGAGGAAGGAGCGGGCGCACGTCGAAACTGGGAGAATGGGACCCTAGCAAGAGGGGGAACGGAATGGAACAGAATGCCCAAGAAGGGGGGAGTGCACGGCACGGAACGGATCAAAGCAGACCTCGCCGGGGCGAGAAACTGGGCAGGAGACGCCGACTCCTGGCGAGACGTTTCCCCGAAGACCACAACTCTCTTCGGGACGCTTCTCCTAAAGGGGTCCTGGGACGCACAAACAAATACACACACACACAAATAACAGGATTCCCCATCTTTTCCCAAGTTTTCTGGGTTTTTGTCTTCCCCCCCCACGGCCCATATTGTCCCATATTCTCTGGGGAATCGACGATTCATTGTGTCTGTGTGTGTCTTTCCCTCCTAAGCTCCGGAGGCGCAGCAGTCGGAGGAGGGGGGAAGGGCGGTATGCTGCAGGCGGGTGCCGTGGCCGAGACGCCCTCCCTGCGCGTGGGCCTCGCGAGCCGTGCCGCCGCCCACCCGGAACGGAAGGGGCCCCGGGACACACACACACACACACACACACACACACACACACACACACACACACACACACACACACACACACACACACACAACACACACACACACACGCAGATGTAGGCACACACACACACACGCAGATGTAGGCACAAGTCCCAGGGATCCCAATAGTTTCGCATGTTTTCTTGATTTCGTCTGCCCCCCTCCACTTCCCATACTGTCCCACATGTTCCTGCGGGTCGATGGTTACTTGTGCCTGTGCGCTTGTTCCTCCCGATTGAGCGATCGCAGCTTTCCGAGAGCGCGGATCGTTCGAAAGCGGTCGATTCCAGAGCCACTGGCGGCGTTCTACCTTGAACGCCCGCGCTGAGGAGGCCACTAGGCTGACACGGCGCGGACCTGCATCCGGGAGAGGAGGGGGCTGAGCGGGGGAGGTGGCGGGGCAAATGGGCGTCGCGGGAGCAGGGAGGGCAGGGGGGTGGAGAGAGAGAGAGAGAGTGTGTGTGTGAGAGAGAAACAACAGAAAAACGTACGGGGGGGGAATGGAAACAGGGAGGGGAGCACCGCATTGGCGACCAGGGGGATGCATGCCCTCCCTAGGAAAACCCAACAGCAGCACAAACATGATTTGTCTAAACTCCGCGCAGATTCCTGGATTGGCGTTGCACCGCGGCGCGCGCCGGGGGGCGGCGCCAGAAGCGCCGCTAAGAAAGGGGGCCCAGCGCCGATCCAAGATATCTGCTCGGAGCTCCGAGAAAAAGAGTGGCGGGTGCCGGAGGCCCTGACACAAACATTGCCGTCTCCTGGAGGGGCGACTTCTGCCTCCGCCGGCCTCCACCAGCCAGCCGCCAGGGAAGGGATGGCAACCCCCTCGATCCTCGGAGGCGAAGCACCTTCTGCCTGGAACTCGTCACGTGCGTGCCGTTGTCTGCTGTTCGACTCCCCCCCTCCGTTTTTCCCTCCCTCGTGCCGCGCCTGTTTCTGCCCCTGGTGGCCGTGTCGCCGCCCTTGTTGTTGTTGTTGTTGTTGTTGTTGTTGTTGATGTTGTTGCTGAGCTCTCAGTACTCAGAATGAATAGTTATTGTTGATCCCCCCTCATGTGACTAGTGTTGTTTAATTGAAGTGTTTCCCCAAAGGCCCGTACCCTTTTTTATTTTTCTTTTTGGTTTAAAAAATGGGAAAGTCACTCAGCTCAGACTGATTGTTTAACCTCCGGATTACAACAATAACGATTCCCGCCTGAGACTTCCTCGCAATTTAGCCAGGACCCCCGTTCCCGCCTGGGACTTCCTCGCAATGTACTAAGGAATCGCGCTCTCGCTTGGGACTTCCTTACGTACAACTTATTCAAGAATCGCTCATTCGGCAAGCTGGAGTCGCGCTCTCGCCAGATACTCGCTTGCAATGTACTTAAGAATCGCGCTCTTTCGTTGGACTTCCCACCAATGTACTCAAGCGCCGTGCTCCCGACATTCAGGCACCCAGGAGTCGCGCTCACGCTTAGGACTCCCCCACAGTTTACTCAGGAATCGGGATCTCGCTGGCCTTCGTGGCCACGTTGCAGCACTTCGTAGCACCCTCGCTGCCCGTCGTGGGCCCGTTCCAGGCCTTCTTGGCCCCCTCGCTGCCCTTCGTGGCCCCGTTGCAGCCCCTCGTGGCCCCCCATCGCTGCCCTTCGTGGCCCCGTCGCAGCCCTTCGTGGCCCCCCGTCGCTGCCCCTCGCGGCCCCGTTGCAGCCCTTCGCGATCCCCTCGCATCCCCTCGTGGCCCCGTTGCTGCCATCACCGGCCCCGCCCTTGCCCTCTGCGGCCCAACGTACGCACGACGTCCGTGGCCCCCGCACGTTCGCGCTAGTCGCGGCCCCGTGCGCGGGCCCTTCGTGGCCACGCCGTCGCCATGTTGTGGCCCCCCCGCTGTCCTACGAGGCCCCGCCGCAAACCCCAGTGGCCCCGTCGTTGCCCTCTGTGGCCCCGCATGATCTGCCCTTCGTGGTTCCCGCTCGTTCGCGCCCTTCGTGGCCCCGTGCGCATACCTTTCATGGCCCCGCGGTCGCCCTCAGTGGCCCCCTTCCTGCCCTTCGTGGCCCCGCTGTCGCTCTTGCGGTCGCTCCCGCTCTCGCTCTCGCTTTCGCTTTCGCTTTCGCTCGTCGTCGTCGTCGCCGCCGTCGTCGTCGTCGTCGTCGTTTCGGTCGGTCCTCTGTCCGTCCCTCTTGGGGTCGGGCTGCCGCCGATCAGCGCTGCCGCTGGCTTAGCCGACGGTCCGCGGCCGCCCCGCCGCTTGCAAGGTCCCCGACTGCAGGGGAAAAAATATACCCCCCAAAACGGGTACGATCAAAGACGAAGATGGCGGGCATCGAGAGTTTGGTAAATGCACGTTGAATGGCACTCGAACGGATAGGATTGAGCTGAGCAGGAATATAATGAGTGTTGTTTTTGCTGTTGTTGCTGCTGTTGTTGTTGTTGCTGTTGCCGATGCTGTTGTTGTGGTTGCTGGTGATGTTGTTGTTGCTGCTGTTGGTGGTGTTTTTGTTGTTGTTGATCTTGTGGTTGATCCCTTACTACTGCAGAAAAATTATGGTTGATCGCCCCCTCCTGTAACCATTCCGTTTTCCAATTGAAGTGCCCCCCCCAGGGCTCGAACCCTGCTTCTTTTATAATGGTCACTCGGGTCAAACTGTGTTGTTGGCCCCCGAACTACAACAACAACGGCTCCCAAATCTTGCTCTCGCGAGGACTTCCATACAATTGATTCAGGAATCGCGCTCTCGCGTGGGACCTCGTCGCAATGTATTCGGACGCCGCGCCCTCGACATTCAGGAGTCACGCTCTGGATGCGGATTTCCTCACGATTGATTTGGGAATCGAGCTGTCGCTCGCGACTTCCTCGCGATTCATGCATGACGCACGCTTGAACTACCCGACTGCTCGACCTGGCCGCCTGGGCCCCCATTCCCGACCCACCTGGTAGGGTTTACCCCCCCGGTCTGCCCGTCTGGTTCTGCCACGTGCGTCCTGCTGCTGGCCCATGTTGCATCCTCCTCCCTCCCCCTTGTCCTTCGTTCCATCCGCCATCCCTTTCCCCTGCTTCAGGGGCTGCGCGAAATACGCGCTGCAGGTAATAAAGATACACCCCCAAGGCGGGGTACGGTCGAGGACGAAGAGGGCAGGCATCGAGGGTTCGAAATATACGTGTTGAGGGATGGCACGCGAGCAGGTAAGAGCGATCAGTCTCAAAATGCTTGCTGTTGTTGGTGGTGGTGTTGTTGGTGCTGTTGCTGGTGGTGGTGGTGGTGCTATTGTGTTTATTGGTGCTGTTGTTGATGGCGACAGGCTGCCTGAAACCCTTGGCGCCCTCGGCCGAATACCGGGACAAGCAGTATGGGGTGAAGATGAAGCTGCGCTAGAGCAGCCTCGTGGCCACCCCGGGGCGGAATCAACGAATGAGCCTCGGCAGGGCAGCTCGCAGCCGAGGAGGAGACTGCGGCCACCGCATTTCCAGGCCCCCATCAATGCGCAGGGGGGGGGAACCCCACAATTCCGGGATATCAGCGTCGCGCTGATAAGACGTGAATGCGACACGTTTCGGCGCCATCGGGAATTAAGCTATACAAGCCGGACGTGGGCGAACCTCCAAAAAAGAGGACGACGACGAGCAAGACACCCCGCAAGTTGGGGCACCCCCCTTCCGAGCCGCAACCCTGCGCGAGCCGTCTCTCAATTATACCCAGACTCCCCCCCGGAAGGGAGCCAGCAGCCAGATACCGGCAGAACTCGCACGCCGATGCCATACAGTGGAGGCCATACAGTGGAGGCCAGTGGAAACTTAACCCTGAGACCCCAGGACGTCCATTGATTTTTGGTGTGGGAACGTCGAGCTTTCCACGGCAAAACCATCGAAACCAGGGCACCCTGGAGGCAAGCAAGGTGCTTCTTGTAAGCCGAAGCGGGACGCAGGGAGGACAAGAAACGTCAATGTACCGCGTGCGCAAAGGATCCCGGCGCGCCGCACGGCCCCTCACCGGCCCGGGACCCCAAGCCCAGAGTCTTTACGTCTGGCCTTCCTATGGCCGCCGGCGACAGGGCACCGCCCCCGCCCGTGCACACCCCTGCACAGGCAGTGGAGGCAAGGGCCGTCTCCGAATGCCGCTGGGCGGCTCTGTAGACGCCGAAGTGCGCACGGACCCGGCCCGCCGGAGGGGCGCAGGATTAGGTCGGGCATGTCCCCCTACAGGCGGATTTTGGACGAACAATGAAAACATAGTCCAACAAAAAGCGAACACGGACAAAAATAATCAAACAGTCATCCCCATACTACAGTCGGGCTGCTGAAAGAAGGAACGATAAACAAGGAACGAAGCCCCTCTTTGGCCCTGAAAGCGCCTCCGTGCCCCAGGAGGGCAAAAGGAACAGCAAAGAAGGAACCTGAGGAACCTCGAGTCCCTTCCGAATCCAGATTGTTCCTTATGTCAGCGTCTTGGCTGTGTTTTTGGACAGGCCCGACTTAAGCGTAGGGGCGTGGGGCACCAGCGTGCCTGCCCGCGGCCGCCCAACTTGCGCCGAGGAGCCGCACTTCCCAGCTGCCCGAGGCGTCCCGCCGTGACGCCGCCCCGCGCCCGCTGCCAGGGGGTGCAGCACTGGCTGGCCGCCCCGGCCGCTCCACGGCGACGCACCTCGCACACACACACACGCACACACACACACACATACACACCCACACACCCACACACACACACACACACATACACACACACACCAAACACACAAACACCAAACACACACAAACACACACACAGCGAACACGACTCACCGAACAGGCCGACACACACAGCGAACACGAATCCCCGAACAGGCCGACGCTTAGATGTGCCGCAAGGCCGACGCAGCTCGCCATGTGGGTGCCCTCCCCGCCCTCCCTCCTCCCTCGCGGCCGCCGTCGCCTGTCTTCACTCCCCTCCGCCTGCCGCGGGTCCATTTGCGCTCTCCGCCGCCTGCACCGCCCGCACGCGCGAGCGGGCCGCCTCCGCCGCGCCGCGATGCAAAACATGTCTCCCTCCCTCCGCTTCCTCTTAGCGTCGGGGGCACGGGTCCCGAGGGGCCCTGGACACCGGTGTCTCCCCCAGAGACCAGCTCTCCGTCCTGGAGCCGTGGAGGGCCCATGGGGCCCAGGGGGGGCCCGTGGAGGGCCCCGAGAGGCCGGAAACGGCGAAACACCTCAGGACTCCTCCCCCTCCTCCTCCTCCTCCTCCTCCTCCTCCTCTGACTCTGACTCTGACTCTGGTCCTCCTCCACCTCCTCCTCCTCCTCCTCCTCCTCTACGACTCCTCCTCCGCCGCCTACTCCTCCTTCTCCTACTCCTCTTCCTCCGCCTCCTCCTCCATCTCCTCTCTCTCTCTCCTCCTCCTCCTCCTCCTCCTCCACCTCCTCCTCCTCCTCCTCCTCCTCCACCGCCCGCCCCATGTCCCGAGCGTGTGGCAAGGTCATGGGCTCGTCGTTCTCGTTGTCGTGGTGGTCGTCGTCGTGGCTGTTGTCGTAGTCCTTCTGGGTTGGCTGTGCCGGCCGTAAGGCCCTCAGTGTGTGGAACGAGGTCATTTGTTGCACCAGAAGAACCCGGGTGCACGAGAACAGCTATAGAAACAACCATGGCATGACCTGAGGAACAGCGAGACCCTTCTTAGCCCAGAGCGGTCCTCGCTCCGGCGTCCGGGCTGCAGGGAACTCCCAGGCAGCGCTTCCTCGGCTCGTGGGCGGGCCCGCGCGACCTCAGGCGGCCGGTGAACTGCTCGCGCGGGCGCGAGCGCGAGCGCGAGCGCGGGCGCGGGCGCTGGCGCGGGCGCGGAGCACAAAGGTGGAACGCACCTGCGGTCGGGAGCTTTTGAGAGGAGCGAGTCGCGGCGGCGGCCACCGCGGCAAGCTGTTCCCCGGTAGGCGGACGGTGTGCGGCGCTCCGCCCTGTGGGGCGGAAGGCCCGACGGGATGCTCGGGACGCTGCAGCTCGGATGGTGGATGCCAGGACCATGGACAACCTAGCAATCCCATCATTACATTAAACATGTGCTCAAGATGTTTTAAGGCAAGTGTTATACCTGTTGAAAAGGCATGTCTTCAACAGGTGCATGGAAAAATGAAGCCACATGTTTAAAACATGTGTTCTACCTGTTCAAGACATGTGTTGAACATTTCTAGACACCTGGAAATTAGTTGACATCAACGTGTGCGTGGAAAAATTCGTTACGGGTTCAAAACACGTCTTGAGCATGCTTTAGGCATCTGGGAGTCAGTTGGCAACAGGCCTCCTCTCCGCTGGCCGTCGTCTATAGAGCTTGCACACCGGGGCGTGGTTGGCACGCCGCGCCGCGGCGCGGCGGTGCCAGGGCCGGCGCGCGCGCGCGACGCGCCGAGGCACAACTCCCGAGCGCAGGACGCGGCAAGATGCCAGGGTGTTAGGTCGGGGGTGTCCCCCAACAGGCTGGGGTTGGAGGAGACCTGCAAGGTACAACAAAAAGGTTCACACATGTTCCAAGAATGGTCAAGCCATCGTCCCCATACTCTCGCTGGGCGATTCTGGATGCTCCTCCTGTGGAGGGACAGGCCCCACTTAGAGCCAAAAGGTGCCCCTGGACCGAGGAAGCAGGAAGCACGGAACGGGCGCCCAGGACGAAGGAGGTGCAGGGGCAGAGGGAGCCCTGAACGAAACACAACATATCGCACTGCTTACACGATTCCCCATGGATGTGTACGTACTTCCTGGAGTGCCCTCCACCCCTCCATTCCCCATATGTTCAGATATGTTCTAGATCATGAGCGTGTATTTATGTTTGAGCCGATTTTCCACCCCTGGGATAGCGCCTCGGTCCCGAGGATCGCCATTGCCGCGACCTGCCACGTGCGTGGACGGCGATGGGTGTCGTGGCACGGGGTGGCGGCGGGGGAGAGCCCCGCGACAACGGGCCGTCGCCTCACGAGACCACCAGGGACGCGTACCTCTCTGCCGGCGGCAATGGGGTGACTGAGAATTGGCACCTGAGCGACGATCACAAACGGGTCTCACGCGAGATGGCACAGCAGCCGTACGCCGCAGCTTACGCGGGCCGCCAGAGCGGCACACCACATTGGAGACGAGGGCGCTTGCGCGCGACCTTACGCGGGGAGCTGACGCGCGAATGTCGGCGCAGTCGAACCCGTTTTCTTTTGCGTCGCTCACCTGGGACCCCGCTCGCTGCAGTAGACCTGGTGCCGCTGGAACAGGGACCCGTAGGAGTCGCAGTTGTCGCAAGACCGCATGGCCCTGTGCACATCCTCGTCGACCTCCGCAATGACGCGCTTGCGGCCGGTGGTCTCCCTGACCTTCTTGGGCCGCCTTGAATATGCCCAGGGCTTTCTTTAGCGTTTTCAGCTCGGCGTCTTGGAAATCATTGTTTCGCGTTTCAAGTCTCAACAGAAACAACTACAACGCTAAAACAATGATTCGTTGCTTTCGCGTTTCCAGTTCTTCGGCGTTTTCAGCCTGGAAGGGGAAACAAAACAAAACGCCCAACCGACAGCCCTGAAAACGCAGAAAAACACGTAGCGCTTTTGTTTGCGTGTTCAGCCTGTCAAGAGCCCAAAGCAGGAAACGCTAACGAAAACGTACAGGGCGTTTTTAAGGCGAACCGAGCTGACCTTTGACTCCGGGATATTCACCTTCCACATCTGGCTCACGTGCAGCCTGCAGCTCGAGCGGAGGCCCCGCGGCGTCTCTCTGCGCAGGACCTCCGTCAGCATGCCCCGGCCCGTGATGTACAGGTCGGCGTGGTCCACGCCGCGCGGCGGCCCGTAGTAGCGCGCCTGCACGTTCGAGACGATCTGCCTTATGATGGCCAGCAGGGTTGGGCTGCCCCTCCGCGCGGCCAGCATGGCGGTCCAGTACATCTCGGCTCTCTGCTTCCTGTCCCAGCACACCGCGAGGGAGTCTCGCTGCTGGTCGACCCAGGTGGAGACAGGAGCGGTAAGGGCAATCTTGGCATCCAGATAGATTTAGGTCGGGCGTGTCCTCCCACAGGCGGATTTGGGACGAAAAATAAAAAATTATCAAAAAGTAGAACAAACTAGCACAACATAATCAAAACATCGTCCCCTGATGATGTTTGGACTATTTGAAAATTTTCCTCCTGAAGAAGGACAAGCCCGACTTAAAAATAAATGCCCCCGCTCTGCCAGAGGACCATGTAGCGCCACAGGTCCGTGCGGAAAGACCGTGGGCGCAGGCTCTGGAAGGCGTCGCTGACGTTTAGGGTGACGAAGAACGACATAAACATAAAAACTCAGAGGTCTGCGCGGATTTCCCGGATCGGCGCTGGACACCCCTCCTTGGCGCGCGGAGCGCGCCAGGGGCGGCGCCGGAGGCGCCGCAAGGGGGGTCCAGCTCGGATCCGAGAAATCCGCTCGGACCTCCGAGCTTTTATGTTTCTGTCCTTCTTCGTCCCCCTAGACGTTGTAGACGCCCTCCCGCTCGAGGAGCGGGGAGATCTCCAGGACCGACTGGTCCATCTGGGAGTAGTTGTAGAAGCGGAACTCCGCACCCTTCGGCAACACCTCCGCGGACCTCTGCACCACGTTCAGTGGGTCCCACGGACCGGTCAGGAAGACGACATTGGGAATCGCCTCCTTGGAGGTCTCCCACATGGGGGCGGCGCAGACGGGGTCGGAGGATCACGCCGCATCGCCAACGCACCACCGATGCATCGGCGAGGGCGGGCTGCAGGTCGCAGCGCAATGGCAAGGTATCAGTGCGGCGCAGTCCTGCGACCCGAGGCGCGCTCTGACCAGAACTCCGAGGCGAACCCAGCCGTGACGGCGAGGGCCTCCCAGGAGAAACTATGAATAATTGACTGCGTATGCACAAACTTCCGGAGCTCCGCGCGGACCTCTGGTGATGGGCCTGTCTTCCACCAGTACCACCACAAATTGGATGGGGGAAGGAGGAAGACGAGGAAGAGGAGGAGGACGACGAAGAGGAGGAGGAGGAGGAGCAGGAGGAGGAAGAGGATGTGGATGTGGATGAGGAGGAGGAGGAGGAGGAGGAGGACGAAGAGGAGGAGGAGGAGGAAAAGGAGGAGGAGGAGGAGGAGGTGGTGGAGGAGGAGGAGGACCCCCTCTCTTCAACTTCTACTGGTGGTGGTGGAAAACAAGCCCATCATCTTGGATCGGTGCCGGACCCCCCCCCCTCCCCAGCGCGCGGAGCGCGCCGGGCGGCGCCGCGGAAGGGGACCCCGAGAGCAGATCCAAGACGCCCGCGCGGAGTTCCGAGAACTTGCTCTTCTGCTTTAGGAGGTAACTACCAGGAGTTTTTCGTCGGAATGACTAAAAATAATGAAGCCCCATTGGGGGGGCGGTTGCCCCGGAGTGGGCCTCGAATTAAACGGGATTAAGCGGGATAGAACGGTATTACGCCGGACTAAGCGGGAGCAAACCGGATGAAGCCGGATTTTGGACGAGGGCAGAGTCAGAATTTGACCTGCCATGAGTCGCGTCCGAACTTATGCCGATATTCCTTCTCCGACATTTGGGGGGTCTCGAATCGTGTGGGAGGCGGTCAATTCCACAGCGGCCCCCTGTCTCGGCGGTGGACAAACCTCCTTTCAGTAAACCACCCTTGTTAATGACAACGGCCCAAAACCGAAACCGACGGACCCAGGCACCCGAAAAACCGACGCCCGCGACGCCCTCTCGCGAACCGAACGCGGCCGATTCGCGAATCGACGCGTCAGGGTGGGAGGCCTATCAACCTCCGGCAGTAGGAGGAGGAGGAGGAGGAGGAGGAGGAGGAGGAGGAGGAGGAGGAACGTTTTGGAACGTTTTGGCAAGCAACGTCGAGCAACGAGAGGCGGGCAGGGCAAGAGAGGGAGAGAGCAGCAAGCAGGAACGCATGTGCCTAAGGCAACCCCCTATAATCGGAATCGCTGCTAGGGTCGACAGGGAGAGGGACGAGAGGAGCCTCGTCCACCGAAACGGTCAAAGCCTCTCCGATGCCCTGAGGCACAGCCAATTCCGACGGGATGGGATCTCGCGCTCGAGCTCGCTGATCGGCCACGGCAGAAAACCGAGCGTGGCGGAGCAGGACACTCGCCTTGGACGGGCCTGCGTAACTCGGGTACAAACCACGACGAATCCGGGCCAGATTTTCAATGCCCTTGCGATAGGGCACTTTACAGTCAAGCATCAACTGGCGCCCGTCCGAAGTAGCCGCTCGGCCACAACACTGGCAAAAGTACAGACTATGCAAATCCCAAAACGCAAGCTTATGGGACGGATGCAAGACCGCTCCAGACAACGTGACGGGGCCAGGGACCACCACGACAATGTCGGAGGGGAAAGAATCCACCCCCACAGCAGGGATGCACGGCGCCTTGGAGACCTCTAAGAGGTCATTCTTATCACACAGCACCTCGCAACTCCTGCAACGAAACGCGCTGCCGAACGTCACAAACTCGAGGGGAGACGCGAAGCGCCCGATCCAACTTCGAACCCTGCCTCGCTCTCTCCAAGGGCGCAACCGCAGGGCGGGCCTTCCTGGGGTCGGCCGCGGACGAGTCGACCAGGGCGCGCCGCGCTCTCCTTCTAATTAGGGCGGTCTGAGCATCCCAGAAATCAGTTCGAGGGTCCGCGCGGGCCGAAAGGTGCCAGGAACGCTCCGCGGCCTCTGAAGCCGCGCGGTCCGCAAGTTGATTTCCAGACCTGAGGAAAACCTGGTGGGCCGCCAGGCCCTCGGCCTCCGTGTCCAAGTGAGAAGCCACTCGCTCCAAGGTTACTAAACCTTCACCTCGCGAAGCAAGAGCGGTCTTAATTCGGAACCACAAGTCCCAATTCCTCCCGCCCACAGCACCAACCCGACCCCGCCCCCAACCAGTAATCAAGGGAAAGTGGTCCGTGACATAATGAACGGGGCCAGTGGTGCCCTCAAGGCACAAGGCGAAAGCCAACAACTCAGAGCGGGAGACCGTTTGGGCTCTTCCCACTAGAATTCCAGAAACGCCCCCGACCACTTCCCACGCAGACGTCCCTGGGGTTCTCCTGACCGAAACAACCGCCGCGCCACGACGGCGGCGCCGACGGTCGGAGGAAAACCGCCCTCCCGAACCGCCCCCAAAAACGACCAGGGAATCGACATATCGGTCAGGGACGTCGAGCCGAGAGGTTTCAAACCCTCCGCTTCCGGCGGGTCCACAAACTCACGGTGAGTATGGTCGGTCGGGGGAACGCCTCTAAGCCACAAGGCTGGATTCATATGACAATGAACGAGTGTTTGAGACACTAGGGGAGCGGACAAGGAATAATCTTCATGATCCTTATTACACTCGCACTCCCAGATGCGGTGCCTCAGAGTCTCAGGCGCCTTCAGACACCTGGGGCACCGCTGCTGCTCCTCCGCGCCCGTCGGGAACTGGCGCACCCGCGGCCGCTGCGCTCCAGCAGCCACGCAAAGTGTCTGGCCAGCCTGGTCGCGGTCCCCGTTCTGCGAGAACTTCGCAAACTCTCGGCGAGCCCAATAGAGATCAGCACCTCCAGCGAGGTCTTCAGCTCCCTCGCGCTCAGAAGCTCGAGACCAAAGCTGAGCGTGAAAATCAAGCATAACGTCCTCCAGCACTCCGCCCACATCCATCATATCGCCAGAAAACCCGCCCAGAGATGATGTGGGGATCTGCCATTCAGCAAATCCACCATGCTCTGGGCGCCACCAGGAAGTAGCTGAGGATGGCTTCCACCCAGCATCAAGCAACGTGGCAATCACTGCAGACACTGGTCCCTTGACCAATCGCCATCGCCCTGCCCGCCCCGCAATCTCCAGACGACGAAGAACTGTCGGCCAGGATGCTTCAACTCTCTGATGAACTTCAGGGTGAAGGCGCCAGACCGTCAGATACTCAGCCAGAAGCTGGCGCCTCAGCTCCAAGGCGGGATCTTTCTGACCATACAGTATGGCTAATGTACTGGTCAAGCACCTGCCCTTCAACGGGCCTGCTCCTGCAATAGCCGCCTGACGTCGAAGGCGAAGGAGCTGGTAGGGTGCAAGGCCATGAACTTGATGTCCATATGCTGCCTGCGGCAAAGCCCCAGTTTTCCACAGGCCCTGAGAGACCTTGCGGAGCCGTGCATGACGCCGAAAACGCTGCAGACGAGCAGCACGGCGAGCCGCGTTAGCAGTGCGCTGGGAAGATGTGCGAACCGTCCTCCGTCCACCACCTGTGGCGTCGACACCAAGGTCTACCGCCTCCAAACAATACTGCACTGGAATAGACTTGTGACGAAGCTTCTTGGCCAACTTTATGTCCAAGCTGATCACACTCGAGATAAGCATCGTCTTAGGGGGGACCACCAACCGCATAGTATCCAAACCCTGCTTGAACTCAGTAGCAGACGCAACCATGCGAGTCTTTACCTTATCCTGAGGTCCCTCTGAACGCAACACAGAATCGCCGATGAATGTCCACAAGGTCGTAAAATCGGCTCTGGCCTGAGCACGCTGCAACAGCGGGTGCAGGAAGAGCTTAGCTGACCGCACCCCATGGGGGGAACCCGCCACTAGCGACCGAGTCGGCAGGATGGCGTTGGACGCTCCCTTCTGGCCACGAAGAAAGCGGGGACCAACACATAACTGCACCTCCAGGCATACCACAATGGGCGGGCACCCCACTTGCTGCGCAACGCAACCCAAAAGGACCCAGGACAGGGAGTCGTAAAACTTCTCGAAGTCCAGCAGCAATGTGGCCACCGTGATGCCCAGCACCGTCGCCGTCTCGTCAAGTAGAGCCCTCAGGAGAGCGGCGCGTAAGGCGCTGCTGCCTGCAATAGCCGTGTCCCAGCGCGCCTCCAAACATTCAGTCCACTCTGAGGTAGCACCGTAGCGCAGGCGGCTCCAGATCTTCGCAGACCCAGCCAGGAGCCCAATGACCTTCTCCCCTCCCTTGGGTTTGGGAAGGAGAGCGCAAATTTTGCTAAGCAACTGCGCTGGCCAAACTCCTTCCTGCTCCACTTGGTCAAGCAACTCCAGGAATTCCACCCGACCTTGGGGGGGGGGCCCTTTGAAGATCACGAGGAGTGAGAGCATCGACTCCAGAGGCCTTCGCAGGAAGCTTGGCCACCACTCGCTCCAAAGACTCCAACTCCAAGGGAGGCAAGGGGTCTCGCCGAGATTCATAATGCAACTGCTGAGGCATATGGGTGATGGCCTCAACGTCGTCAACTGCGTCAGTCCACAAGGATCGCCAATATTTCCGCTTGTCGCCCATGAACTCCAAGGTTCCGAGATGACCTGCCCATGGCGATAACTCTCATGCACCGCGGGCTGAGGGCCACGAGACATAGCATGAAGACGCCCAGGATGTTGACGCCATTGCTCAAGGGCCCATTTGGTGAACTGTTGCCTGCCCTTTGCGAGAGAGCGCGCCTGCGCCCGATGAGCAAGTCTTTCCGTCAAATGTGACCAGTCGTCAGGTTCATCATGATTGGCCGAGGGTATGGTGGCCGACCAACAAAGCCAGCGATCACGCTCCTCCTGACCAGATGTGCCAAAATACCCCGGTCTGTCTGATGATTGAAAATGAGCAACATGCCGCTGAAGCTGCTGAAAGCAATCGGACAGCTGCTTGGGGTCACGCCCATGCTTGGCCAGCGACACCGTCCCCAATACCAGCGTGTGCACAATGCCCCACTGCTCGCCCACTGGGTCAGAGAGATGAGCACGGCCTGGAGCAGCCTGCGACAACTGCCACTTGAGCTGGGGACCTGCACCACGCAGAGGCTCGAAGTCCTCCTGCTGATGGTGAACACTGAAGGCCATCTACATCTTGGTAGTCCAGGTGTTGTACCTGCTGATAAGCTGCGACGAGCCCGATGCATTAATGTCCCCAAAGAAATGTTGCTTCAGCGTGCGTCGGCTGATCTCCCCGAGCGGTGGCACCGCAATAGCACCTGAGGGCCAAACCTCTTCAGGAAGATAGAAAGAGACTGAGTCAGCTTCTGCCGCCGTAGCCGCGGCCGCTTTGTGAAGTAGGTCAAATTCAGCTTGAGGGTATTCTGGAAGCTTCGCTCGACGTTGCATAAGCGCTTCCTGTTTCTTATTCGAGGCCTTACTGCTTGGGTCAGCTTGCTTTTTGGGGCGGCTGACTGTCGGGAACGCTGGTGCCGTGACGAGGCGCTGATGCCACCACCTCCGCTTCGACCCAATGCTGTCAACCTGCAAGGCGATGTGCGTCTTCCGAGGAACTGACGCAAAACCTCGCATACGAAAGCGATATGTAGTGCCTTGCTTGACCAAGCCATAATCGCTCAATGCACCTTGAGCCGCCTTGTCGCAGGTGACCTTCACGTCTGGATACAAAATCTCGCTCTTCAACTCCGAGGGCCATCCTGAACGAAGAAATGCATCAGGTCCCAGATTACAGTCGCCAACAACAATCCCGGGGTCGGCTAACGCCGACAGAAAAGCACCCAAGCGGATCAACATAGACTGGTTGTGGCCTGATGTCGAAAGTCCAGGTCAGAGATAGATGGCCACGATAACCACATTGCCGCTGCTGAGATGCAGGATCACGGGTGCAAGCCCCCGGAATGGATCCGACTTGCCAAGCCTGACTGCAGCCTGGCGAATACTTTGAAAGCTGGTGGGGGCCAGGTGCTTGCGGATAGCAATAAGCTCGCCGCCAGAAGAGCCTCCTTTGCCCGTAGCCTTGCTGCCCGTGTAAGCCGTGTTCCACTCGTCAGCATCAAAGGTCTGGTCGACGCCATCAGCAAACCTGGACTGTAACACGTGCATCTCCACAAAGCACACCATGGCAAACGAGGTGGCGTTAAGAAGCTTGCGAGCTTGTGGACCCCATCCTGTAATATTCCCATGCAAAAAAGAAAATGAACCAGCATCTGCAGCGAGAGGAGCAACCAGATCAGGTCGACCCGAAAGCTTCTGCAGCACAGAGAGCTGTGGGACTGGGGCCGCATCCTCCAATAACTTAGAGTCCTCGGCAGCTTCGGCCACGCTCCTGAGACGCCCCCCATCCTCCTTCTGAAGCCGACGGGCGGAAGGGGGTCAGCAGGGCGGCCAGGGACCTGGGGGCCAGCAGGTTGTGGCTCCTCGGCTCCCTCAGTACCTGTGGGCACGGCGTGAATGGACTCAGCCGCTTCCGCGTCCAACATGTGATCCAGGTCATCGAAGGGGTCGTGATTTGCGTCGTCCCAGCCCGACGCAAGACCCACCGCCTCTGGCGCCGAAGTCATCTGAGTCGAGGGCGGAGCCATCGAAGCACCCGTGGAAATGCACCCCGTGCTGGAAGGGCATCCTGTTGACGCCTCCTGAGACCCACTCGCGGTGCCCGAAGCACAGGTGGCAATCTTCGCAAAACTGGCCGAACCCGAAAGAGGCGCGGAAACTGAAGCCAAACTGCCAGTAGCCGTAGTACTTGTGGGCGGGGGCCTGTGACGACCAGGGGCTGAATCCCTGCGCCCCTCGCCCAAGGGCGAAGCAGGCCACGAACTTGCCGAAGAGCTCGCGCAGCCAGTCGTCCGACCGAGGGCAGGGGCGCAAGCAACCTGACTGCCCTGGTCGGGCGGCGCTGCAAGGTGGGGACGCCCGCAAAAGGGGAATGCCACCTGGAAGCCGCCCTGCACGCGCCGCTGCGGCGCCCGGGTGTCGAGGGTCTCCAGAGCTTCCATGAGCGCCATCGCTTGTCGCTGCAGCTCCTCCTGCCACAACTCGTGATCTTCGGACTCCAAGTTCCGCAGCATCTGCAAATCGCGAGCACGCTGGCTGCGCCGAGCGCGCCAAGCGCGCTCACAGATACGCCTGGCCATATCAAGAGCTGCAATGGCAGGATTCCCATGACCTGCTGCAGCGGCTGCTTCTGGAATAAGCGGACTTCGCAACGGATGAGACAACCACGTCGAGATGAAGGGAATGCAATGCCCTTCCCAGTGGTCCTCGTCAGAAGCCTCGTTCGCTGAGTTAACGTCAGGGATCCATCTGGCAGCGAAAGAGCGGAGACTCCGCTCAAGTACCTCACGATGGTGAATCGCAGCTCGGCGTTGGGGATCCTGATCTTTAAGCTGAAGAATGCCCGACAAGGGCTGAAAGTCGGGGAGAAAGTGAACCTCCTCCGCCTCAGTGCGGAAAATGTCACCATACTGAGTCGTAGGGCAGCCCTCGTTCAACGTGACCTTGTAGAGATTGGCTAGGTACAACTGCGGATCGAAGACGAGCTCCTCCGCAGCACTCATGAAGATGTCGCCGTAAAAGGTCGACGGCAAGCCAGGATCAGTAGACTTGCTAAAGTCCCTGCTGCGCTGCTCGGGTAGTGTCAAAGGACTCCTTGGCGGTGCGCCTGGCGGCAGCTCGAACTTCATCAGGCCCATCAGCTGCGCCGGTTGAGGAAGCGCCGCCGCCGTCGCCCACAGAGCCAGAGGCAGCTGACCCACCAGGCTGAGCAGCAGCACTAGCGCCAGCGCCATCACCTGCGCTATCACCGCGCCTGCGCTTCGCTTGCATCCGCAAGGACACCTGCTTGGCCTCCGCTCGAAGAGCAGCGAGCTGCTCTGCTGAAGAGCCGAGCGCCTTGGAGATCTCTGCCTTGATGCCAGCCGCAAGGTTGTTCTTAACTCGATCCCACTCGCGAAGGTCCGCAAGGTCGAGGTCGAGGCCTTCCGTGCTGAAAATTGGGCCGTCGACGATGGTGAGCCCCTCGACCTCGCTGTCCTCGCCCAGGAGCGTGGACAGGTTGAGCGACGATGCCCCTGCAGCAGCGGGTGGCGCCGCCACTGGCTGCGGGAGCTGCTTCGCACAGGCCTCCTCCCACGAGCGCTTGGCCTCGACAGCAGCCGCGACCGCAAGGTCTTCAGCATCACGCGCCTCCTGCAGCCAGGCCTCACCCTCCAAGACCTTGAGAGAGCGACGCTCGAGCCAGGACTTTGCACGACGGTACGCCACCCCCTTGGTTGAGACGTCCTCCTCAAGGAGCGGCTGCCGCGGTGCAGCAGGAGGCGGGGCTTCCTTCTTGGCGAGGAGGGCCTCCACTGCTGCCAGCGCCTCGGTGCCGTCGTCGCCCAGCTTGGCCCGCAGGGCCGCCATCGGATCGGCTGACTCGAGTGGAGCTGATGCGCCGCCGTACGGGTACCAGCCCTGGTGGTATACCCACGGACGCCTGTCGACATGGCCCGCGGAGGCGGCGGCTTTCGCCTTGGCCTTCCCCCGCGATGGCGGCGGAGCGCCTTTCTTGCCACGACCTTTGCCTGAGCCCGTGGCGGCTGCCGCTGCCGCCTGCGACGGCGTCGGGTCGGCGAAGGGAGACCCAGCAGGCTGAACGTGGAACGGCGAGTTCGAGAACTGCGGCGGCCCAAAAGCCCACTGCCCAAGCGGCCGCTTCGAACCGTCTGGCTGCGACACCAGGGCCCCCGCGCACTGGTAGCACCAGTGGTTGTTCTTGAAGTTCCAGCGGTACTTGCAGTGCGGGCACGGGTCGTGGTACTGCTGACGAGCCTTCCCACCACTGCTGTGCCAGCCATCTTGGGCCATGAATGACCGTGAGTGGAGGCGAATGAACCCCTCGAAAGAGGGACCTCCGTGAGAAAGGATGAGACTGGTGCAGGTGCCCAACCCCTGCAGTAAAGGCGAAGAACTTCGAGGTCAAGCCGCGGACTAGCGGTATCTGTTTTGGCCCCAAGGGAACCAGGCATCTTGAGCCAAAATGGCTACGGAGGAGGAGGAGGAAGAGGAGGAGCCCTCCTCCTCCCCCCTCCCTCCTCCTCCTCCTCCTCCTCCTCCTCCTCCTCCTCCTCCTCCCCCTCCTCCTCCCCCCTCCCTCCTCCCTCCTCCTCCTCCTCATCCTCCTCCTCCTCAAACTCTTCCTCGTCTTCTTCCTCGTCCTCTATCCCCTCCTCCCTCCTCCTCCTCCTCCTCCTCCTCCCCTCCTCCTCCTCCCTCCTCCTCCTCCTCCTCCTCCTCCTCCTCCTCCTCCTCTCCTCCTCCTCCTCCTCCTCCTCCTCCTCCTCCTCCTCCTCCCCCTCCCCTTCCTCCTCCTCCTCCTCTTCCTCCCTCCTCCTCCTCCTCCTCTCCTCCTCCTCCTCCTCCTCCTCCTCCTCCTCCTCCTCCTCCTCCTCCTCCTCCTCCTGCTCCCCCCTCCCTCCTCCTCCTCCTCTTCTGCCTCCTCCGCCTCCTCCTCCTCCTCCTCCTCCTCCTCCTCCTCCTCCTCCTCCCTCGGCAGCCATTTGGCTCAGAGCCCGCCGCCCCCGGTTGCACTGGCCACGGTACCGCTCCTCCCATGGCCGATGCGGTGGCGGGAGGCGCTGCTCGGCGCGGTGAGTCCGCGCGGGCGGCTCCCGCCGGGTGGCAGCGTCCGCGGCGGGGCGCACTGTGGCGCACTGGGGCGCGCGGCATCCGCCCAGGAGGCCGACGAGAAGAAGGCCTTGGAGCCTTCTCAGAGGAGGGGGAGGAGGAGAAGGATGAGGAGGAGGAGGAGGAGGAGAAGGAGGAGGAGGAGGGGGAGGAGGAGGAGGAGGAGGAGGAGGAGGCCGACGAGGAGGAGGTCATGGAGGAGGTGGAGGCCAAGATCGGGATGATCAAGCCCGTCCTCGCGGCGAAGGTCCGCGCGGCGCACGACGAGGGGTCGCTGCGCATCACGGGCGAAACCAGGGCCATCAGGAACGTGGCCGAGCACGCGCTCTTGGGTGAAGGAGTGGAGGCCCTGCCGAAGGACGGCAAGGAGGCCAAGCGGCGGCAGAGAGGCAGGCGCCGTGCAGGTGCTGCCCCCCGAGCATCCGCCTGCAGCAGCCAAGGCTCCGACGAGGACAGCCGCGAGCTGGAGACCAAGCTCGAGGACGGCGACCAGAAGAAGGACAAGGACATGGTGAAGAAGGAGAGCAAGTACCACACGGAGGGCGATGAGAAGGGCGCCACCAAGGCTGCCGAGGATAAATGCGACCTCTTCGACTTCGTGATGAAAAGGACGGTGGCGGTCCAGCACCTCCAGACCCAGCTGGAGGCGGTGGAGAAGGCCCGTGACGAGGCCATAAAGAAGATCGTCGACGGGGGACTCGGCAAGGAGTTTCAGTACTTCATGGAGGGCAAGGCCGTGCAGCAGGAGTAAGCCTCGGTCTCGGTGCCGTTCAGCAAGTGGCTGCACTACCTGGAGTCGGGAGGCGAGACCCGGGCGAGGGCCCCCCTCGTTCTCTTCCAGGTCTGAGGTAGGACACTTGTCCCGAAACATCGCATTCCCATAGCATTCCTCCTCCTCCTCCTCCTCCTCCCTCCTCCTCCTCCTCCTCCTCTCCTCCTCCTCCTCCTCCTCCTCCTCCTCCTCCTCCTCCTCCTTCTCCTCCTCCCCCCCCCTCTGGCCGCCCCCGATCACGAGCCCTCGGCTCCTCCGCGGCGACGGGCGGCGGCGCGCCGCCCGCGGCCGCCAGACGCGGCCGCGGCGGGGCGCCGAGGCGCCGCGCGGCGCGAGGCGCAGGGCCGCGGCGAGCGCCGCAAGCCGCCAACGCGGCGCTGCATTTGCTGAGCGCGCGTCGGCGGGCGGGCGCCGGCCGCCCTGGGCGCCCGCGGGGCCGCCCCTCGCCCGGCGAGGGGAGGAGGAGGAGGAGCCGGAGAAGGAGGAGGCTGGGGAGGAGGATAAGGAGGACGAGGAGGGGGAGGAGGCGGATGAGGAGGAGGCGGAGGAGGAGGCGGGGAAAAGAAGGAAGGAGAGAGGAGGAGGAGGAGCAGGAGGAGGAGCAGGAGGAGGAGGAGGAGGAGAGGAGGAAGAGGAGGAGGAGGAGAGGAGGGCGGAGGAGGAGGAGGGAGGCGAAGGAGGAGGGGAGGAAGGAGGAGGAGGCGGAAGAGGAGGAGGAGGGGAGGGAGGAGGAGGAGGAGGAGGAGGAGGAGGAGGAGGAGGAGGAGGAGAAGAAGTTGGGAAAGCAGGAGAAGGGGGAGGCGGAAGCGGAGGAGGAGGAGGAGGTGGAGGAGGAGGAGGAGGAGGAGGAGGAGGAGGAGGAGGAGGCGGAGGAGGAGGAGGACGAGGAGGAGGAGGAGGAGGAGGAGGAGGAGGAGGGAGGAGGAGGAGGAGGAGGAGGAGGAGGAGGCGGAGGAGGAGGAGGAGGAGGAGGAGGAGGAGGAGGAGGAGGAGGAGGGGGAGGGAGGAGGAGGAGGAGGAGGCGGAGGAGGCGGAGGAGGAGCAGGTCCCCAGGCAGGATCGCGCCAAAAGAATCGAGTAGGGGAGATCGACTCAACGGAATGGACTTGCACTTGAGTTTCCCGCCGAGTCTGCGGGAAGGGCTTAGAATGTCCCGCAGATCTCCGGACGGTGTTTGGGCCTTTTGCATGTCTGGCGGGTAGCTCACTTTTGGAACACACCCACCGGGGGGGCCCTTGCCCTCGGGCCAGGAGCCCAGCATAGAATCGACGAGTCGGACCGGCGATCGAAACGAATCGGGCCGGCGGAAATCGGCAGCCGAGTCGGAAAGCATCGAGTCGGGAAACATTGGCAGGCTAGTATGCCTCCAATGTGATGTCGGAACCCAAGTCGGAATCCCAAGTCGAATCGAGTCGGCATCGGAATCCATCGAGGTCGAATCGAATCGAATCGGAGAAATCGAATCGAGCCCTGGGAGACCCAGCGCGGATCCAAGAAATCCGTGCGGAACGCCAAAAGTTTATGCTTATGGCGTTTTTTCTTCTTTGCGTGAAGGCCACGCTGGCATTCATTGTGGATGCCATGACAATAGACACCCTAACAATCCCATAATTGAATGAAGAATGTGATACAACAATGCGTGAACCATGTTCTAAAACTGTTAAAAACATGTGCCTTTCTCAAACACTCTTAGAGCATGCTAAACTACATGTTAAACACTCTTAGAACACTCTTACACCATGTTCTAAAAGTACAACATGTCAAAAGCATGCTTTAAACACTCTCTAGACATCTGGGGAGGATTTGGGAACATGCTTCCTCTCCATGGATCGCCCTCCACAAGCCAAACGTTTATGCTTACGGCGCTTCTTCTGCTTCGAGGGAAAGGCCACGCTTGCGGAGGCGCTGCTGCCGACCTCGGGGCCTCCGAGCCGAGGGCTGAGCCCTTCGCGCACAGCCTCGCCGGCGAACGCAGGCCAGCTGCACACGGCGACGGCCCAAGCTCCGACGGCCGCTCTCTCCGGCCGAGCAAACATGTACCCAGACATGCTCGCGCCGTACACGAAGTCAGGACGGGAGGTTTTTGGCCATCTTCGGCCTCGGGGGGCTCTCGCCGGGCCTCGGGACCGTCCACAAACCGACTCGGATGAAAAATCGGTCCTGGGGAACGGGCCCGGACTTCCAGGGACCCCGTCCCGAAAAAATCAGGACGTCGCATGTCTGGGTTCAGATCCCAGCCAAGCCGTCTAGATCCCGACTGGACGGCCAGATCCCCACCGCCAGAAGGAGACCGGAACGGTCCAGAGCATGACCGTGCTCGCTCGAGCTTTCAACCGCTTGCTAGGCACTTCATAACCCAGACATGCGACGTCCTGATTTTTTCAGGACGGGGTCCCTGGAAATCCCGACCCTCTCCACAGGACCGGCTCCTCACTCCGAGCCGATTTTTGGACGGCCCCGAGACCCAGCGAGGGCCCCCCGAGGCCGAGAAGGGCCAAAAACCTCCCGTGCTGATTTCTGTGACGACGCGAGCATGTTTGGGAAGCGCTCCCTGGGCGCTTCACACGCGCTCCCACAGCGCGCTGCCAGCAGGCGCTGCACAGGCGCTGCGCAGGCGCCTCGGAGGCGCCCCAGTGGGCAACTCCTACAGGCGCCGCACATGGCGCCTCGGGAGCGCTCCGCATGCGCCCCGTAGGGCGCCTCAGGGGCGGTCCATCTGGGCCCTTCATAGGCTTCAGTCGGGCGTGTCCCCCTGCGAGGGGGATTTTCGTCAAGAATAACAAGTGCCCCAAAAATGCTCCAACATTGTCAAAAAACATGCAAAACATGGTCCCCAGACTATTTTTGGATCATCTCTGAGCACTCCTCCTGTAGAGGGACGGGCCCGACTTAGTCATAGGCGCTTCCCAGAAAGCACCTCCTCGGCTTCGTGATGGATCCCCGTGAATTCCTCTCCGATTTCCGGAAGTGCTCCTGCAAAATTCCTGGGGGATGCCTATCACAGCTTCCCGAGGGGTCCGGAAGGCTTCCTGGAGAAGTCCTGAGGATGCCTGAAGATGAAGGCCTCATGAGGACTCATGAAGGATTCCTATAGATTTCTCACATGGATTCTTGAAGTTCCTGAAGGATTCCTGAAGATGCCTGAGGGGTTCCTCAAAAGTCATGTTCGTGCTAAGTGAGCTTCTGTTCTGTTGAGTGCGCTTCCGCTGTGCTTGATCCTGTTGCCAGCCCCGTCTCCTGCTACTGGTGTTGTCCTTCTCCTACTCCTCATCGTGCTCCCTCTCTCCATCTCTTTACCCCGCATCCCCCACAGTGGAAGCCTCTGTTTCATACCCATCTGCACTTGCACCTTGCATACGCATTGCACTTGCATGGTGTGCCATAACATTGCATTGCATTGCGTGGCATTGCACTACAGCGCATGGGATTGCTTGTATGTTGCAGCACATCTCATTGCGCTGCATGGCAATGCGTTCTGAGATCCTCTTAACTCTGTGCTCCAAATTGCTGGGGGCACGGTGGCCTGGCATACTTCGCCTGAGACATCCCCGTAACCCTGGTATCCAAGATGTCACGCGCGAGGTGGTCCAGTCCGTTTCGCCCGAGATGTCTGCGCAACTCGGGGCTCAGAGATACCCCCAACCTGAGGAGGTCCAGCCCGTTTCGCCGTAGGCAGCCTCGCAACTCTGGGCTCAGACATTCCGCGCGCGAGATGATCTGGCCAATTTCACTTCAGACATTATCGCCTGAGACATCCTCCCAACTCTGCGAGATGCCGCGCGCGAAGTGGTCTGGCCAATTTCGCCTGAGATATCTTCGCAACTCGGGGCTCCAGATGCCGCGCGCGAAGAGGTGCGGCCTAGCTCGCCTGAGGATCCCTGCAACTCCAAGCTCAGAGATGTCCTGGCTTGATGTGTTCCGGCCCATCTCGTCTGAGGCATCCTCGCAACTCTCGGCTCAGAGATACCTTTCGCGAGGTGGTCTAGTCCATTTTCGCCAGAAGCATCATCGCAGCTCTGGGATCGGAGATGCTCTGTCCTTGTTGGTCCAGCCCGATTCGCCAGGGACATCCTCGCAACTCTGGGCTCAGATATGCCCTGTCCTGATGTGGTCTGCCCCCATTCGCCCAGGGCATCGCGCAACTCTGAGATCCGACGTGCCAGGCGCAAGGTGGGCTACCCAAACTCCCCTGAGACATCCTCGCAACTCTCCGAGATGCCCCGTGCGAAGTGGTCTGGCTAGTTTTGCCTGCGACACCTTCGCAACTCTGGGCTCCACGATGCCGCGCGTGGGCTCAGAGATACTCTGACCTGAGGTGGTCCAGCCCGTTTCGCTTGAGGTATCCTCGCAACACCAGGCTCAAAGATGCCGCGCGCGAGGTGGTCTGGCCCGCTTCGCCTGAAACATCTGCACAATTCTGGAATCATAACTGTTGCGGCCTGAGGTGATCTGGCTTAAATCGCCCAAGACATTCTCGCAACTCTGGGCTCGAAATTGCGACGCGCGAGATTGTCCGACCCAACTCACCTCAGACATCCTTGCAAATTTGGGCTCCGAGATGCTCCTGACTTGAGGTGGTCTGGCCAATTTTGCCTGAGAGAGCTTCGCAACTCTGGACTCCAAAAATGCCGCGTCCGAGGTCGTTTGGCCAATTTCTCCCGCAACTCTAGGCTCAGAGACGATGCGCTCGAGGTACTCTGGCCGGATTTGCCAGATCCATCTTCGCAACTCCAGGCTCCAAGATGTCGCGAGAGAGATACGGTCAGGCTAACCTAGGGGAAAGAACAATGACATGAACATAAAACTCGGAGGTCCGCGCGGATTTCTCGGATCGGCGCTGGAGACCCCTGGCGGCGCCTCTGGCGCCGCCCCTGGCGCGCTCCGCGCGCCAAGGAGGGGGGTCCAACGCCGATCCGAGAAATCTGCACGGACCTCAGAGTTTTAATGCGTATGTCGCTGGTTGTTTCCCTATTACTTCG